ATTGATGTCATTGCCGCAATGGGTGATTCTCTTACGGCTGGAGCTGGAATCTTTGCAGGCAATCTGCTTCAGATTCTTATAGAAAACAGAGGAGTTACCGCGGCTGGTGGAGGCCAAGGCACGTGGAGACAATATCTAACTCTTCCTAATATCATTAAAGTAAGGCAATCAAATCTTACAACGTTATAAGATTTATTATTGAACAAATCATAGCATGCAAGATACAATACAAGAAATGGAGATTTAAGATATTGATGGCAGCCAATTTTATGGCAATTAAATCAATCAAATCTTATGTAGTAAAATCTAATGCTCGTTGCATTAACACTGCAAATCCAAGTGTGTCATTTTTACAGCCATAAACATCTAAAAATAACACATTAGACTGAAGCTCTTTTTACATGTTTTTTTATGTATTAAATTACGTCATTTAATATGTTTAATCGTAGGGGAGACCGAGGCTAGAAGTCACATAGGTAAGTTGTCACAAAGCTTATATTTCACTTGTTAGATTGAGTGGAATATTAATTCTTTTTTATAATGTAGGTTACTCCTATCGTGTTAGTCGGGTGTACGAAATAGCTTGTTCCAAAAACATCGCATGTGATATTTACGAGCACTTTTTAAAAATTGGAGGTTGTAAATAAATTTTTCTTCCCTCTATTTTTATTGTTCCGTTGGTTTTTTGAATTACTAGTCGTAATTTCTTTTTGGTCATAAGAAATATTATAGTTTTAGATAATTTTTCCTGTATTTAGTTAACCGTCATTGCAACATAGTTTATAAATATAATCTTCTTTGTTCAAAATGACCGTTCAGGATAAGTTTATGAAAATTATATTACAAAGTTTATAAAAATTATTAATTTTTTGTTTAATTTATGCTGCAAAATATTATTAAGTTAAATTTACCAAAAACTGGCATTAACTTTAATAAAATATTAAAACAGGAACTATTTGTCGTATGTTTCCTCTACATATAAAAGATACATGACAATCAATCCAGAGTCATGTGACAACCAACCCTGGGTATGGGGTAAGTTGTCACATTTGCGCAGTTTTGCTTATAATTAAATAACTTTTTTGTGTATAAATATATATACAAGTTTAATATTTTTTTTCTTACACCTAAAGAATATAGCTACATTATAAAGCAGTATACAATATTATAAAATATTGCTAACATTTTTTTAAAAATCAGTATTTAAAAAGAATGACAAATTAACGAGCGCCGGTCTCCTCTATTACATTAAAAGTTAATTTGTTCAATCGTGTTAAATGATTTAAAACGATAAGAACTGTGTAAAATCAGCTAACACACTTGGATTTGCGGTGCTGTTATGTAATAAAAAGGAAACTAGACTTTCTTTACATCATTATGGCTACCGCGTGACTTCATAGTGTTCATAGCAGAAGAAAGCAGCGAAATTTTGTAGTTAGCGGAGGGGGGTTTTGAAGAAAATTCCCCCCTTATCCCATATGCAAATTTTATATTTTGTAAAATTCCTGTAAAGTAATTGGGCGCGATGCTAACAACCTTTAACTTGTAAATTAAAATACTAAGATATTAAGCAATGCCGAGCAAAAAGTTATATAATATACAATATAATATATTATATTATATTATATAATTCAGAATGTTATATCGGTTAATAAAATCATTATCATAATCATCATTGATCAATATTTAAAATTGTGAGCCCTTTATTCGCTCCCTAATTTTTTTTCTCATTTTAATAAATGTCTTTCTCTAACCGAAAATTATTTCTTTTCTTCCAATTTATTTTATCTATTAAATAATCTTAGAAAGTATAATTAAATATATGATCTTTGTGACAGATTTTCACGATTTTATGACAGATTTATAATTTAAAAAATTAACATAAAGACGGATACTATAACAATAAGTTAGATAAAAAAAGTTGTATTACGTCTTGAGGGGGAAGGAAAGGGAGTAATATAACACTAAAGGCTGATCTAACAATGTGCGCGTGTACAAATTAGTCATCATAAATTTTCATTATATTAGGAATTCAACCCCAATTTGATAGGATATGCATTGGGAGACTCTTTGACGACTGACAAGGCATCGCAATTAAATGTTGCCGAAACCGGTGCTGAGTCCGGGGATGTAGTTTACATGACAGACATGTTAGTCAAGAAAATTAAAAACGATCCGAGGATAGATCTGCAGAAACATTGGAAGGTTCGTTGAACTAGACAAATTCAATTTGTTGCAAACACCGAGAGAAACGAGAGGCAGCAAATATCATTACGTGAACTGCATGTTTTATTGTATGTAATAATTAAGTTAATTATCACCCCTTATAGTTTTAAACTGATTTTCCTTGCGATAAAAATTTGACGGAACTACTTATCATTTGTTATAATTTTTTAATTATTTCCGAGATTTTCGTTAATATGCTGTATTTACAACAAAATATCTCGTTCCGTTAAAAATTCTGGCACTCTTATTTATTAAACATACATATCGATGGCAATAAAATTTGATTTGCAGTTCATCTCTCTGATGATCGGATCCAATGACTTTTGCAATGAATTGTGTTGGATTCCATCGCCGTGGTCAATTCTTGAAACACATAAAACTGATCTACTCCAAGCTTTGCGGACGTTAAGAGATAATTTGCCGCGAACCTTCGTGGCATTGCTTCCGCCACCACATTTAAAGGCTTTGGTCGAGACACGTGAAGGAAGACCATCGCTTAATTGTTTCCTCACAACGGACTTCGAATGTTCTTGCATGTTTGGTCTCACATTTCGGCGTTTTAGATCTATGTATTACGACATTATGCGACAGTAAGCGTAATAACGTAAAATAAAACGGAAAATAATCTAGAGTATATTATTTATTAAATGTTAATATAATTATTTTCGGTAATGCAAAGTTATCTGTGTTTAAATAATCCAATACGACATTAAGTAAAAAATACGTGTTTGGCAATCTGCGACATTAAAAATTAATTTTAGCTTGGTTCATTGAAAGTATCACTTATACCGTTGAAAGCAAATTGCAGATTGATTAAAAATTTGGAAATATATTTTAGGTGGCAGAAGCTAGATATGGAAATCGCAACTTATCCAGAATTCCAAAGAGATGACTTTACAGTCGTAGCTCAGCCTATCCTGGTGAATTTAACAATTCCACTTGGTTCAGATGGATATACCGATATGACATATTTAAGTAGCGATTGTTTTCACGTTAGTCAAAAGACCAACGCTCTTTGTAAGTTTATTAAAAATTTCCTAGAAAGAAATTTGTTAACTAATAATTAAAAAACTGATCTTTCATATTCAAAACGCATTTTATTTATAGTTTTATATTTAAAAGTTTTATATTATAAATTTTTATATTTTACATTTTATATTTTAGAATTTATATTTTATATTTATATTTTATATTTATATTTTATTTTTATATTTAAACCTATATAAACATAAAAATAAACGCGTAAGATGCACTTTTTTTTCATATTCAATATATTATAATGATATAATAATGTGAGAAAGTGCAATAATCACCAGCATATTATCCAAATGTTAACCAGCTTGATCAGTCTACGAAAGTTAGATTACCTTAATTGTGACAGTTATATTATAGCATCAAGTTTCTATAATAGCATAAATTTGTAGTTAGTATAAAATAATTGTGTAAATTTGATAAAAGTGTTCAAATATGTTTCAGTCAAGTGGAAGTAAACTCACTTTAAAATGTTTATTAAAACTATTTTTAGTTGTTCAGAAATGATCTAGAAAATGATTCAAGATCTTTTATTTTTTGTAGTTGCAAACAGTTTATGGAACAACTTATTGGAACCGGTAGGTGCCAAATCAACGAGATGGAGCAATAATAAATTTCACTGCCCGACGCCGGAAAGGCCTTATCTGACTACAAAGTTAAATTCGAAGCAACAAAGTGTTACTGAAACTGTCGCTGCGATTTGAACGAGAAATATTGGCACTTTACAAAAGAGACTACATTATCGATAGCGTTATTAGGTCATCAGTCGTAGCTACAATTACGCAAACAACTTTAAACAGAGTCGCAGTGTCAATTATTTAAGCGTAGACAAGATGACATGGTGTATTAATTGTAAGAGGCGTCTTTCGGGTTGAGCAAACTGAAGCAGTGAGACAGTTTAACTGGGTTCAAACTAATATATTTATTATACATTTTAATCGTACGTGCGTTTTTAAACAAACTCTCTACATCTCTACGTTACTCTCTTGTTGTTTACATTCTGAAGATTGATTTGTTCAAAAAAGAATAAAAACTGTTAACTCGGTCTGCCGATGTGCCTACTAAGACCTTTAGAAGCGATATGCATATCAGATTGTTGGAAAATAATTGGCGGCAGCGAACGTTATATGGACGATGGCTATGTATAATCGTCGTTTGTCCCGCAGCTTTAAAAATAAATCTGTTGCATCAGTGAAACATAAGTTATAAACTTTCACGATTTATATAGTAATATTTCTCTCAAAATGATTATAGACACCGGTGCTAATTTTTACAAAATTTTGAAAACAATTATTATACCCAAAACTTCGTGACTTTGGACTTCAAATTTATTTTATATTTAGATTCACATATTTAATGTGAGACTTTATTTTCAACAATTAGATTTATAAAAAATGAAAAGCGTCCTTCTTTAAGCGACGATTCCTTATGCGGGCTGCTACATCTAACATGCAAATCGATGTACCCGCTTTCGCCTGTGAAAGATCCCAAAAATCGACCTAAATTTTCTTAATTTCTTGTTTATTTCAATTTTTTTCTAATTCTATTATGTTTTTCAATCTTTTCTACCCCTCTTTCATATATAATTCTTCAAAATTTGGTTGATTAGTTCTTGAGTTGTATATAAGCGAAAAAAATGTGGAAATTTCTAATTTGTACACTTTTTTTATTATATTAGCAACTTTGTTCATCTGTGTTTTGTGTAAAATATACGCTAATTGATTATTCTGATACCGACTATCATGACTATCATGACTAAATTATTCCTCGATCTTAAAAAACTAGTTTCTAATGACCACAACATCATCTACGAGGACATCGAAAAGCAGTCTTCAGTTTATTAACTTCTAGTATTTGGAAATCTCGAATTATTCAAAGTTCCTTAATTGTTCCTTGCGTAAAACAGCCTTGTTCTCGATTGACAGACGGCGCGATCAAGGTCTCGGTTATTTTCACTGCATCCGAGCTCGTTTTGCAGGTTCGACCATGGGCCATTGGATACTTCGATCTCGGACGGTGCAACACGCTTCTGCTGCAAAACATCAAGTTTCACAGTTCGGGCGTGAACCAAACGCCGTCAAAGCAAAGCGACTTTAAATTTTGGCTCATCGTTGATTCCGCATCCTGTAGAACAATGTTGTTAAAGTGGTGGCAGTTCTACTGCGCCTTGTTGCATATATCCGTATTGGCATCGGATAGAAAGACCGTTCTTGATACGCCCTTTAACATCATGCTCCACCGTGCCATTCGAGAATGGACTTTCAATGCTTTCGGTACGTATGTTAACCAGTAATATGCACCAGCCGTGCCATATATTTGTGTGTGATCGCCCAAAAATAGATTTCTTTTATAACTAAAATATAGAGCAGTATATGAGATGTGTACTATATTGAATTTTACTAATTACAATATAAAAATAGTCATAACTTTTTCAAAACTATAATACTTTTAATTAAGGAGAGATATCCACTAAAGTCCGACCGAAACAATTTTTTTTAATTTTGCCCAAACTTGAAAACAAATATTCGGTTATGTGTCAATTTTGGCCAAAACCGAAACCGAAAACTAAAAATCGAAATTTTCATGAAAATCCTAGAAGGGCCGTATACGCGCGCATATGTATACGCACATATATACTATATACAAGGGTCGTTCAAGTCAAATCGGGACTTAATGGAACGCATTTATAGAAATGAAAACTATAAATTATTTTTCGATATTTGGACAATAGTCTTCTGTTACATTTATGCACTTGCCACAGTATTTCACTAATGCCTGGATACCAGTAGCACAAAAACATTTGTTTGTACGCCGGAGCCAGGATCGGACAGCGTGTTTTACTTCGTCGTCAGTTCTGAATTGCTGACCTCCCAAGAAGTTTTCTTAAGATCCGTAAAGATGAAAATCGCTCAGAGCGAGGTCTGGACTGTAAAGCCTTGTGTCCACGATGCTAGAAATTGCTCCGAGCAGATCTTAGACGCAAGGCTTAGAAAGGATAAGACAATATCTTCCAGCCAAGTTCCAATAATGTGCAAGTAGTGCGATGGGCTGCAGTATGATGTACAGCCATCTTTAAATTGTTTGCACCATTCAAATGCTTTACTGCGGCTAATTGTCTCATCGTCATACTGTGCTTGAAGTCTTCGTAAATATCCGCCGGTTTCACAACTTTATTCACAAGAAACTTCATAATAATTCGCTGTTGTCCGCCATTTTGCATAACTGATTATCAATTGACTCGAGAGAACTACGCCACATACCGATGATAGACACTTGCCATTTACCACTATAAAAAGAATTCTTCGCGATCGCATTCGTTTTATATCATGTGCAACTAAAAGTCCCGGTTTGACATTGAATGACCTTCGTACTTTTTGTTTATAATATAAATATCATAATTTAATTATCAAATATAGTAATTACACATATTATCATAATCCTACTATTACTTTCTTATTATCACAACCTATAGTATGCTATATACTATTCGTAGTATCATAATCATATTATTTCAATAATAACCAAATTTCTAAACATAAAAATATTTTTTAAACAAGTTTTTGGAAAATCTGTGGAAAATAAACAGTTCGGCTACGTCACCGAAATTCCCTTTCGGTCGAAACCAACCAAACTCCGATTTTTTGTCAAAACTGGCCGAAACCGAAACCGAGTTTTCGATCGGACGTTAATGTCTATCTTCTGCTCTTACAAAGTTCAAACGATCTAGCTTAAACTCTTGCAGCAAAGCAAATGAGTATCAACACAATTTTATAATAAAAAAACTTGTTTTTTACTCCTATCACGAATTTTTTGAAATTTTAATATGTTGTAGACGGAGTTAATATGTATCAATTACGAAATTTTAAAGTCAATTCATCGTTTAGTTTATTAATTAAAAATAGCACTTCTTGTGCCTGCGCCCTATACACACCACGTGGAAGATGGCACTTTCATCACATTTTAATATATAACGATGGAATGGATCTTATACGATTTTAATAAAAAAAAAAAAACAGTAGGGTATAAAACATGAGTGTGAGATTATTCTAAAAAGAATTAATTTTTTCACCGTTTAGTTTCAAAGATATCACTTTGAAAAGAATCAGTAATACGTCTGCTCTCAAATTGAAATGTTTGTAATTTTTCAGTGAGATTATGTGGCACCTGTTCACATTTAGCAGCATTTGCTATGCACATTGCTTTTTATGCAACGGCTTTTTTTCGTTTATCAAGACTTTTTTTCTTGATAAACCGACCTTTCAAACGCACTGGATCTGACATTATTCGAAAGGGACAGAAATGCGATATTGCCACGATTAACGCGCCGCTTCGTAAGTGTGGTAGTAGTGTATTCATACATGAGCTGTTTCTATATGTGAGCAAATTCGGACTGTACAGATTCAGTCAAAAGTGTCGCTCGGGTAGCATTGAATAAGTGTTGAATGTCCCTATCTACTGGAGACGAAATTTTTAGTTGATACGTGTACCGACAGAACTACCTTAAATCTCATATTGAAGGCCGATCTTTTAACGACTGGTGTCCTTATATTGTCGTTGAGCAGGTATATTATATACATATACATAAAAAAGCTGCACAAGGACACTAAAACGATAACGATAATTTTATCATTATTAAAAAATAGAGCTATTTTGGTAAAAGTAACAATGTCAAGGTTCTGCATGCTGTGAGCGTTTAAAGTCCGATTATTTGAAAAAATTTGTAAAAGTAAAACATGAACATTTCTAATAGTCATGATTATTCTTTTATTGTAATTAATTAATTCAACAAGTATAAATTTCATATTGCTTTGTATTTTAATTATAAACTAAATTTATATTTTTCTTAAGAACAAAATTTATTTCCGTATGACCGTATGTAGGTACTAATTTCTCTGTAAATTTTAACGTACAACTTCTTGTAGGTAAGACAGGAATGGAAGAAAGGTATCTGCAAGCAGTAAGAAACGCAAATAAAACGCAAGAAATTATTCCCGACAATGTTCCGTTCCCTTGTAATGTGACAGGTAGAAAAGAAATCTATTATCATTTCCTATTTCCTTATCGATAAATAATTGTTCCTCGCTGGTCATAATTGTCTTGTCTCTTTATAATTAATACTATACATCTGCGTTAAAAATACAGTTATTAAAAATTGAGACGCTTCTTTACATGTCAATGGTTTTTCTTAAAAAGTAAGGCATTTTATTTCTAGTTCAATATTTTTGGTGTCTATATACGTCTCATGTTTAGCTAACTTGAATTTTTCTTTTAGCAAAATCGTCGCACATAATTATTTCATTGCAATTTTTGTTTTTCAATATTATATATAATAAAAACAAGAATCTTATATGTATAACGAATTAAAATTCCATTACAAAACAATTAAGGTTTATGTAACTAAAGAGTGTGATTTTATCTCAATCGCTAATAAAAACGTATATGTCGACGTTTTCATTTAAGAATAGTCGATTAAAAGTTATAAAATTAATTAAATTGTTATAAAAAAAGATAATAGAAATGCGAAACAACGTGTACTTGAGGAGTGCTATGACTGACAATAAATTTCAGGTGGTCGATCGTCAAAAGTGCCAAAGTCGGTGCATAAACTAAGACCGGGTGATATCGATGTCATTGCCGCGATGGGCGATTCTCTTGCGACTGGAGCTGGAATCTTTGCAGGCAGTCTGCTCCAGATTGCCATAGAAAATAGAGGAGTTACTGCGGCTGGCGGAGGCCAAGGCACGTGGAGACAATATCTAACTCTTCCCAATATCATTAAAGTAAGGCAATCAAATCTTACAACGTTATAACGTTTATTATTGAACAAATCTTAGCATGCAAGACAAATACGAGAAATGGAGATTTAAGATATTGATGGCGGCCAATCATGGCAGTTAAATCAATCAAATTTAATTAAAATTTTTTTAATTATAGTAAAGTCTAATACTCGGTGCAATAACACTGCAAATCCAAGTGTGTTATTTTTACACGCATAAGCATCTAAAAATAGCACATTAGACTGAAGCTCTTATTTCTTTATGTGTTAAATTACGTCATTTAATACTTTTAATTGTATATATTACATTAAAAGTTGGTTCGTTTAATCGTGTTAAATGACGTGATTTAAAACAGTTAGAAATGTGTAAAAAGAGCTTCACCTAAAATAACGCACTTGGATTTGTAGTGCTGTTATATAATAATTATATAATAAAAAAAGAAAAATAGATTTTTCCTAACGCAAGCGTGAAATGGGCCGCTTTTCGCGCTTGTTTTGAGTGAGCAAAACGATCCATTTCGCAATGATGACGTAAGCGTTGAAACATGGAGCCATTTCTCAACTAGTGGAGAAATGAAATTGTAAAACAAGCGCGAAAAGCGGCCTGTTTCACGCTCTTGTTAGGAAAAATAGTATGAACAACTCGTGGGAAGAGTGGTCGAGCCCAAATGAGTGTGATGGTCGCACTCGCTTCGTTCGTGCGACTAACTTCACACTCATTCAGAATCGACCACTTTTTCCACTAGTTGTACAATATACTATTTTTGCACCATTAGATCTACCGCGTAACTTCATGCGAGAGCGGCGAATTTGTTGTTAGCGGAAGGAGGCTTTGAGAGGAATTCCCTTTTATCCCATGTGCAAATTTTATATTTCGTAAAATTCCTCTAAGGTAGTTGGGCGTGATGCTAACAACCTTACTTTGTAAAATATAATACCAGAATATTAAGCATTGCCGAGCGAAAAAGTTACATAGTAATAAAAGTTATATAATAATATAATATAATATAATTAATATATAATATAATATAATATAATATTATATAATATATTATATTATATAATTTTCAGGACGTTATATCGGTTAATGAGATCGTTATCATAATCATACATCATTAAGCAATATTTAAAATTATGATCTTTTTACTTGGTTTTTAATTTTTTTCTTACTTTAATAAATATATCTATCTAATAAAAAATTATTTCTTTTCTTTTAATTTACTTTATATCAAATAACCTTAGAAAATTTATATGATTAAAATCACGATTTTCAATTTTGTGACAGATTAAAAAATAATAATTAGAAAAGTTTATGTAAGGACCGACACTATCAATAAGTTAAATAAGAAAAGTTGTACGTCCTGAGAGGAAGAGAGGAGAGTAATGTAACACTAAAAGCTGATCTAACAATGTGCGCGTGTACAAATTAATCACTCACAAATTTTTATTGTATTAGGAATTCAACCCCAATTTGATAGGATATGCATTGGGAGATTCTTTGACGATTCACCAGGCATCGCAATTGAATGTTGCCGAAGGCGGAGCTATGTCCGCGGATATGGTTTACATGGCGAATGTGTTAATCAAGAAAATTAAAAATGATCCAAGGATAGATCTGCAGAAACATTGGAAGGTTTGTTGAACTAGACAAATCCAATTTGTTGCAAACAGCTAGAGAAACGAAGGGCAGCAAATGTCATTATGTAAACTGCATGTTTTATTGTATGTAATAATTAAGTTAATTATCACCCCTTATAGTTTTAAACTGATTTTCCTTGCGATAAAAATTTGACGGAATTACTTATCATTTGTTATAATTTTTTAATTATTTCCGAGATTTTCGTTAATATGCTGTATTTACAACAAAATATCTCGCTTCGCTGTTAAAAATTCTGCACTCTTATTTATTATTAAACATACATATCGATGGCAATAAAATTTGATTTGCAGTTCATCTCGCTGATGATCGGATGCAATGACTTTTGCAGTGAAATGTGTTGGATTCCATCGCCTTGGTCAGTTCTTGAAACACATAAAACTGATCTACTCCAAGCTTTGCGGACGTTAAGAGATAATTTGCCGCGAACCTTCGTGGCATTGCTTCCGCCACCACATTTAAAGGCTATTGTTGAGACACGTGAACGAAGACCATCGCTTAATTGTTTCCTCGCACCGAAAGTCCTGTGTTCTTGCATGTTTGGTCTCACATTTCAGCGTTTTAGATCTATGTATTACGACATTATGCGACAGTAAGCGTAATAACGTAAAATAAAACGGAAAATAATCTAGAGTATATTATTTATTAAATGTTAATATAATTATTTTCGGTAATGCAAAATTATCTGTGTTTAAATAATACGATACGACATCATTAAGTAAAAAATACGTGTTTGGCAATGTGCGACATTAAAAATTAATTTTAGCTTGTTCCGTTGAAAGTATCGTCACCGTTAAAAGCAAATTGCGGGTTGATTAAAAATTTGAAAATATATTTTAGGTGGCAGAAGCTAGATATGGAAATCGCAACTTATCCAGAATTCCAAAAAGATGACTTTACAGTTGTAGCTCAACCTGTCCTGGTGAATTTCAGTATTCCATTTGCTTCAGATGGGTATACCGATATGACATATTTAAGTAGCGATTGTCTTCACGTTAGTCAAAAGACCAACGCTCTTTGTAAGTTTATTAAGAATTTCCTAAGAAGAAATTTGTTAATTAATAATTAAAAAACTGATCTTTCATGTTTAAAACGAATTTTATTTATAGTTTTATATTTAAAAGTTTTATATTATAAATTTTTATATTTTATATTTTATATTTATATTTTATTTTTATATTTAAACCTAAACGTAAAAATAAACACGTAAGATGACTTAATTTTTCATATTCTAAATATTATAATGATGTAATAATGTGAGAAAATGCAATAATCATCAGCATAGTATCCAAATGTTAACCAGTTTGACCAGTTTGATCAGTCTACGAAATTTAAATTACCTAATTCTAACAGTTATAAATTTTTAATTAGTATAAAAAAAGTTGTGTAAATTTGATAAAAGTTTCAAATATGTTTCAGTCAAGTGAAAATAAACTAACTTTAAAATGTGTATTAAAACTATTTTTAGTTGTTTATCAGAAATGATCTAGAAAATGATTCAAAATCTTTTATTTTTTGTAGTTGCAAACAGTTTATGGAACAATTTATTGGAACCGGTAGGTGCTAAATCAACGAAATGGAGCAATAATAAATTTCATTGCCCGACGTCGGAGAGGCTTTATCTGACTACAAAGTTAAATTCGAAGCAGCAAAGTGTTACTGAAACTGCCGCTGCAATTCGAACGAGAAATGTTGGCACTTAACGAAAGAGACAGTATCGATAGCGTTATTAGGTCATCAATCATAGTTACAACGTCGCAAACAACTTTAAACAAAGTCAGTTATTTAAGTGTCAATTATTATTTAAGCGCAGACAACATGACATGATGAATTCATTGCAAGAGCCGTCTTTCAGGTTGGGCAAACTCAAGCACAGAGACCGAGAAGTGCATTTCTTGCAGCATGGACTAGAGTTCCTATAATAAGAGTTAGGACACCGTTATAGCTTTATGTCTCACTCCCACTAACTTCTTCTTGGTTATAAAATGGCGGACTGGCGGACCAGTTATATAGCTTTGTCTCACTCTCACTTATAACTTTGTCTCACTCTCACTAACTTGGCTGAAACATATGGCGGACCAATAAAAAATCATCATTACATTGGCTTAACTCTTATTATAGGGACTCTAGTATAGACTTAAACTCAGCGCTACTTATATTCTTATATACAATAAAATAAAAAAAGCAATTCTGCATTTCTTACCGAGTTCTGCTGTAATAAATACGTTTTTAATGCAAAATACTTATTTATGAGTTTCTATCTGCAAATCGATAAATGAGATTGATTTTTTCTTTATGGAAGAAACATTCGCTGAATTCATGCTGAAGACAACTCTTTGCGAAAAAAGATTAGCCTTTAACGGAAATCTAATGATATCTATAATATGTCATAAAAATCGTTTCAATTTTTTACTTAATTTTTGACGTAGAACTACGTTTTTGTCGACAATAAATAGAGGGTAACATTGGGAGCACAGATTCAACGAAAACATGCCACACTGTGAACGTTTATATGTTCAAAACTAATAATAGTAGGATAATGATTAATACGTCATTAAATAGCTCATATAGTCCCATTTCCTCTTGAAAGTTTTAAAAGTCTCAAAAAGCTTTTTAAATGAGGAAGCCAAACAATATTATAAGCAAATAATTATACTCAGATTTCAACCACTTTCAATTTTGGCAATTTAATATCAATTATTGGTAACTTTTCTCTAATTCCATTATATTCTTCAGTCTTTTCTATTTCTATTTTATATATAATACTTTAAGATTTGGTTAATTAGACCCAGCTTTATTAAGCTTCTTGTATTTGCGTATTCCTAGCAAATTTTAACGTATGTAACTCAAGAACTAATCAACCAAATTTTAAAGAATTATATATGAAATAGGGGTAGAAAAGATTGAAGAACATAATAGAATTAGAAAAAATTGCCAATATAAAAATCAAACGGGCACAATAACAACTGTGCCGCAACCAACAACGTAGGGCTACGTCAACTGTCCTTCCCTGAATACTTTAACATGAACTATAGTGACAGTAGACGTAGTTCTACAAAGCTGATTTTTTGTCTACAAGCAGTGTACGCACTATTTCGATTAAAAATCACATTCTACCTCCGCTGAAAGGTGGCTAAATCTTTGGTAGACGTTGCCAAAATGTCAAATCATGACAGTTATATTTTTCATTAATATTAACGAACGTTTTCTTATAGATGTGTTAATAATCACTTTTATTTACGCCATTATGATCTATGTTTCGGTAAGGAAAATCTTTCAATTAATTTTTTTTTTCATGTCAAAGGAACTATATTCAACATATTAATAAATAATAAATTCACAATCCTACATAAATCTCATTGTAAGAAATGTTTTTCATAACTTATTCTAAAAATTTATTCGTTAAAAGTTTATTATTATTTACCAATGTTACTGTCAATTAAATACTAAAATTATTACAAGTTATGTTTTGAAAGTAATTTCAAACAATTTAAAAAAAGCCTGACAATATAAACATAAATTCAAAAAGTAGTGTGTCGAAAGTTCAGCTGTTTCTTCGAGAAAATCTCAGTACCTGCAGGGTCCTCCCCTTCATAATATATAGATATATATATATATGTTTACAAACAGAAACCTTAAACACTCATCCGTCCACACCTTGTACAATTTACTTAACTATTTACAATATTGTGTTCTAACCTACTTCAACTAACTCGTTTCCTATGATTCTACTCTTATCTTTCCTTCAATAAATCTTTCTCTTTCCACAGCCTTTTTAATGCCCTCCTTTTTTCTATACCTAAAACGTCATTGCAAAGCTTATCCAGCCTTTCCTTATTATTATTACCTAGATTATCAAACTAATCACCTATTACTATGCATTCTCCCACATAATGTTCTAAATTATTCTTTCCCACTTTACAAAATTTACACCTTACTTCCTCGTCCTCTAACCAGTATTTGTTGTTTGCTTCCTTCATATTACAACATCTTAATCTTCTTAAAGCTCTTATTCCATCATCTGGCATTAACTTATCCATATTTTCTTTTGATAAATACCTATAGGCTTTTCACAACTTGCACCTATCTCCTTATATCTTTTATTGTACCTCGCGTTTCTGACTTTTCAATCTATAATTTGTTCTTGTATATCCTGTTCTCTTTCTCTAACTATCTTATCCATATCAGTACCCTCCCGTCTTGAAATTCTTATAGCCTCAAGGCCCCATCCCAACCTGTTATAATAACTCTCTCTTTCTTTACTGAATAAATCTTTTTTCTCTTTCATCAAACCATTCTCCACTTTATCTTTTTCCTCTCAGTTTTCCTCCCAACCTATTCCTTCCACTTTCTCTACTTCTTTTCTCATAGCTCATTTTGCTCTTAATCCCTAATCAATCTTTAGTTTCTTTAAACCTAATTCTCTTAAGATCACATACCTTGGCGTACAAAAATCTAAAAATCCATCTAACATAGTCTTAACATTATCTTTTCTAATACACTTTTTATTCCCAACCCCACACTTCCACCACGCGTATTCCACTCTTAACACTCTTAACTAGATACTTAAATAATATCCATCTTCCCCTAAAATCGTCTTTACATATTTTTTTACCCAGACCCCATACCTTATTAACTGCTATCCTACCTTTCCTACTCAATTCTTTTATGTGATCCGTGTAATTTCCTTTCCTGTTAAACGTGAAACCTAAATACTTAAATTTCTTTACTTCTTCTATTCTTTCCTTGCCCCACATCCATCTCCTACTACCTGTCTTACCTCCACTGTTAATCATAACTTTTGTTTTTTCCGTACTTAATTCCAGCTTCCTGTCCTTCAAAAATAACTTCAATGTATCCATCATATCCTCCAGTGCCTCTTTATTCTTAGCCATTAGTACCATATCGTCAGCGTAAGCTAACGACTAGCTTACGCTAGCCCTTACACATTCCTATATCTCCTACATTACGTTTATCTAACGCTTTATCTAAATCCGCAATATAAAGACTAAACAGGTCTGGACTCAAAACACAGCCTTGTCTTACACCTTTCATCGTGATAAACCTTCTCGTGAGACCCGTTTTCGTCCTGTGACTGTCGTTTCCGTTTCTTCATAAATTCCTTTAATCCTGCTTATCAAGTTGCGTCCCACTTCTTTTTCTTCCATTACCTTCCATAATTTTTCTTTATCTACGTTGTCAAAAGCCGTCTTCAGATCTACAAAAAGTGCATATACCTTGTTATCTCCTCGTTCTTTTCCTTTCTCCCTCTGCGTAATGTGGTTCAAAATGAAGATGTTATCCATTGTAGACCTACCTTTTCTGAAACTAGCCTGGCTTTCAGGTAGCATACCTTTCGATTCTATAGCTTCCTCCAGTCTGTTTCTCAGACTTAAATACAAATCGTTTGACTTTTTTTATGCCCTGTAATTTCAGCAACATCTACCAAAAATTTAGCCACCTTTCAGTTGAGGTAGAATGTGATTTTTAATCGAAATAGTGCATAAACTATTTGTAGACAAAAAATCAGCTTTGTAGATTCCCAGGTAGCATTAATGGTAGCAATCATAAAGATGTTTTTAAGATGCCAGAAATCTTAAAGATGTCTTTATGATGTCTTTTAGACATTAATTGCTACCTGGGTTAATATTCCGCGGCGGAAAATGCAAAACTTCTCCTCGAACTGCAATGGCCCGGAGCGCAGCGGCCGCGGTACAATCTTGCATTCTAATGCGTCTACCGAGGCTTTAGCAACATGAGACGATTGGTAGACTGTATTTTTTGGATATCTTATTCAATAAACTATTCCAGAAAAAAAATTCAGCTTTGTAGATATAAGTAAAAAATGTTTGTTTTTTTCACACTTTGCGTGGGTGGTAGACCTGACATGGCAACGATTCGGACGCGGTAAAATATTATTTCGGTATGTTTTTTATGTCATCTGTGAGTATGTAAAATTTCAATTTTGTACATATAATACAATTTATGCAACTTTTTGCAACATGTTGTTTAATTTTTTACTTATTTTTGCAACACTTATAAATTGGTAAAATTGCACCTTCATCATGGGAAAAAAATCTAGCTTTATAGAAATGATTTCACGAAAACTGTCGTTATATCTCCCGGGCTCTAACACGCGCGAAGAATGAACACAAACATACACCTTACACATACATTCTACAGTTAAATTTATCTTAAATGTTTTCAATCCCGCTTTTAATTTGCCTAGTTCTCACTTATTGTATAATATCGATAATTTACCTAACTTATATTTTTAATAAATGTTTTATTAATGCTAAATATAAATTTCCATCTCATTTATTTATAACTTAAGATGACCCACTACTCATCCCCCTCTCGAAATCGCGAGTTAAAGGGATTAAATTCCCTGACTCAAAAGAGGACCGACGATAGGTGTGCTCACGAAAAGCGTCCTATCTAACGTCCCTACGGACGTTGACCCTTTCTGAACCATTGAAAGACGCTTCAAAGCGTGTACCTGCGAGCGACATTTGTAAGTATCTGGTTGTCCTTCCTTATCCCTACCCCTCTAGTTAACCTTTCCTTCGCTTCCCAGTTTTTCTTGTCCTATAAATCCTGGGGTTGGACGTAACAGCTGCAAAATACCAAGTTTCACAGTTCAGGCGTGAACGCGGCGCCGTCGAAGTGAAGCGACTTCAAATTTTGGTTCATTGTCGGTTCCGCAACTCGTAGAACAATGTGGAAGTGGTGGCAGTTCTACTGCGCCTTGCTGCATATATCCGTATTGGCATCGGATAGAAAGACCGTTCTTGATACGCCCTTTAACATCATGCTCCACCGTGCCATTCGAGAATGGACTTTCAATGCTTTTGGTACGTATGTTAACCAGTAATATGTTATTCATGCCACCGTACGAAGTGTAAGAATTTACATTTTTTTCGCTAGTCGCACGATTGTTATTTTATTACAGTGTTGAAATTTTCCAATTCTTCTTTTCATATAAAATGCAGTTAAAATCAGAATGTCAAATTACATAGCCGTGCCATATATTTGTGTGATCGCCCAAAAATAGATTTCTTTTATAACTAAAATATAGAGCAGTATATGAGATGTGTACTTTATTGAATTTTACTAATTACAATATAAAAATAGTCATAACTAAAATATAATACTTTTAATTAAAGAGACATATCGACTAGAGTCCGACCAAAACCGAAACAATATTCGGTTATGTGTCAATTTTGGCCAAAACCGAAACCAAAAGCTAAAAATCGAAATTTTCATGGAAATCCTAGAAGGGCCATATGTATACGCGCGCATGTGTATACGCACATATATACTATATACAAGGGTCGTTCAAGTCAAATCGGGACTTTTAAGGGTACAAAGTACGAAATAACGCAAATAGAACGCATTTATAGAAATAAAAACTATAAATTATTTTTCGATATTTGGATAATAGTCTTCTGTTACATTTAAGCTTTGTGTCCACGATGCTAAAAATTGCTCTGAGATCTTAGACGCAAAGCATAGGGAGGATAAGACAATATCTTCCAGCCAAGTTCCAATAATGTGCAAGTAGTGCGATGGGCAGTATGATGTACAGCCATCTTTAAAAATTGTTTGCACCAATCAAATGCTTTACTGCGGCTAATTGTCTCATCATCGTACTGTGCTTGAAGTCTTCGTAAATGTCCGCCGGTTTCACAACTTCATTCACAAGAAACTTCATAATAATTTGTTGTTGTCCGCCATTTTGCATAACTGATTATCAATTGACTCGAGAGAACTACGAGAGAACACTTGCCATTTACTACTATAAAAAAAATTCTTCGCGATCGCATTCGTTTTATATCATGTGCAACTAAAAGTTCCGATTTGACTTAAACGACCTTTGTACTTTTTCTTTATAAATATCATGATTTAAATATTATAATTTAATTATCAAAATAATAATTACACATATTATTATAATCCTACTATTACAATCTTATTATCACAACCTATAGTAAGCTATATACTATCCGTATCATAATCATATTATTTCAATAATAACCAAATTTCTAAACATAAAAATTTTTGTTAAACAAATTTTTGGAAAATCTGTGGAAAATAAACAGTTCGGCTACGTTACCAAAACTCCCTTTCGGTCGAAACCGAAACCCAACCAAACTCCGATTTTTTGTCAAAACTGGCCGAAACCGAAACCGAGTTTTTGATCGGACTTTAATGTCTACCTTATGCTCTTACAAATTTCTTCAAACGATCTAGCTTAAACTCTTGCAGCAAAGCAAAATGAGTATCAACACTATTTTTAGATTAAAAAAATTTGTTTTTCACTATTTTTACGAGTTTTTTGAAATTTTAATATGTAGACCGAGTTAGTATGTATTAATTACGAAAGTTTGAAGTCGATTCACCGTTTAGTTTATTAATTAAAAATAGCACTTTTTGTACCTGTGCCCTATACACAGCACGTAGAAGAATGGCACTTTCATCACATGTTAATATATAACGGTAGAATAGATCTTATACGATTTTAATAAAGAAAAATAGTAGGGTATAAAACATGTGTAATTATTCTAAAAAAAAATTAACTTTTTTTCCCGTTTAATTTCAAAGATATCACTTTGCAAAGAATTGCTATGCACATTGCAGCAACGGCTTTTTTCCGTTTATCTTTTTTTTCTAGTGAGCAGGTTCGGATTGTACAAATTCAGTCAAAAGTGTCGCTCCGGTAGCATTGAATAAGTGTTGAATCTCCCTATATAGCTACTGGAAACGAAACTTTTAGTTGATACGTGTACCGACAGAACTACCTTAAATCTCATATCGAGGTATTGAGAGCTGATCTCTTAACGACAGTGTCCTTACATTGTCGTTGAACAGGTATATTATATATACATAAAAAAGCTGCACAAGGACACTAAAACGATAACGATAAATTTATTATCATTAAAAAATAGGGCTATTCTGGTAATGATAGCAACATCAAGGTTCCGCATGTTGTGAGCGTTTAAAGCCCGATCATTTGAAAAAATTTGTAAAAGTAAAACATGAACATTTCTAATAGTTATGATTATTTTTTTATTGTAATTATAATTCAATAAAACATTTATAATTTTCATATTGCTTTGTATTTTAATTATAAACTAAATCCATATTTTTCTTAAGAACAAAATTTATGGCCGTATATGTATATACGTACTAATTTCTCTGTAAATTGCAACGTACAACTTCTTGCAGGTAAGACAGGAATAGAGGAAAGGTATCTGCAACCAGCAAGAAACGCAAATAAAACGCAAGAAATTATTCCCGACAATGTTCCGTTCCCTTGTAATGTGACAGGTAGAAAAAGAAATCTATTATCATTTCTTATTTCCTTAACAATAATTGTTTCTCTAATCATAATTGTCTTATCTCTTTATAATTAATACTATACATCTGCATAAAAACTCAGTTATTAAAAATGTAAAGCTTCTTTACATGTTAACATAGTTTTCTTAAAGTAAAGCATTTTATTTTTAGTTCAATATTTTTTATGTCTACATTTCATTTTTGGCTAACTTGAATTTTTCTTTTAGCAAAATTGTCGCACATAATTATTTCATTGCAATTTTTAGCGAAACTTCCAAAAATGTCCATGCTCAGATTTAGGTGAAACTTTGTGAATAGGTTCCTTTTAGATAAAAAACACATATACCAAAAGAATTTTTTGCGACTCCAAAGTTTACAACTTTTTTAACATTTTTAACTTGCTGTCTCCGCGCATACATTTTCCACGAAACAAACTAAAACAGCTCTCAAGTAATGTAAACAATCATAAAGTCTTACTCGTCAAAGTCATAACATAAACATCATTGACGAAACTTCAGAAAATCAGAAACATTATAAACTACGATGCATAGTTTTCGAGATATCAATTTATATAACCTATCACATAGTATAATAATATACACAGAATTAGCAGTGAGAAAGAGAGAGAAAGAGAGAGAGAGAGAGAGAGAGAGAGAGAGAGAGAGAAACAGTACACACGTAAGCGAAGGAAGAGCTACTGCATCTCCTCCAAAAGCAGGGGGATGGGGGTGAATTTCAGTTCGCGTGAAAAGTGTATGCGTGAACTTTTCATGCGTGGAAAGTTAATATGAATTTTTAAATAATGCTTTAATTGTGTGTGTATAAACAATACACATTTAAGCGAAGGAGGGGCTACCGCACCTCCCCCAAAAGCAGGGAGAGGTGGGGGTAAACCTCGGTTCGCGTGAAAAGTGTATGCGTGAACTTTTCATGCGTGGAAAGTTAATAAGAATTTTTAAATAATACTTTAATTGTGTGTGTATAAACAGTACACACGTAAGCGAGGGAGGGGCTACCGCACCTTCCTCGAAAGCAGGGGGAGGTGGGGGTGAACCTCGGTTCGCGTGAAAAGTGTATGCGTAAAGGCAGTTTCCGTCTCCCTGCGGGGGGCTTCACTATTATTAAACTAGATACATAGTGTGCCTCCAAAGTACATGCGTGAGCTTTCCACGCATGGAAAATTTTAAACTTATGTGGCACCTCGTTTCGCGTGGAAAATGTAACGCAGAAGCAGCAAATTAATATATTTGTACTTTGTGTATGACTTTATGGTTGTTTCCATTACTTGAAAGCTGTTTTGGTTTGTTTCGCGTGGAAAATGTATGCGCGGAGGCAGCAAATTAAAAATGTTAAAAAAGTTGCTAAACTTTGGAGTCGCAAAAAATCCTTTTGGTATATGTGTTTTTTATCTAAAAGGAACCTATTCACAAAGTTTCACCTAAATCTGAGCATGGACGTTTTCGGAGGTACAGCCCAATTTTTTATTTTTCAATATTATACATATATTAATAACAAGAATTTTATATGTATACCAAATCAAAATTTTATTACAGAACAAGGTTTATGTAACTAAAGAGTATGATTTTATCTCAGTCAGTAATAAGAACGCATATCCCTTACAGAAATTTAATACGTGAGAAGTTTAATAAGTGATTATTTAGCTAGTGATTAATTACTTATTTTTAGTATTAAAAGCATTTAGAACAGCGCATTTAATACTCAAAATAAGTAATTAATCACTAGCAAAGTAATCACTTACAATATTAAATTTCTGTAAGGAAAGTCGACGTTTACATTAAAGAATAGTCGATTCGAAGTTGTACAATTAATTAAATTGTTATAAAAAAGATATTAGAAACGAAACATCGTGTAATTGAGGAGTGCTACACGACTGAATAAATTTCAGGTGGCCGATCGTCAAAAGTGCCAGAGTCGGTGCATAAACTAAGACCGGGTGATATCGATGTCATTGCCACGATGGGCGATTCTCTTATGGCTGGAGCTGGAATCTTTGCAGACAATCTGTTCCAGATTCTCATAGAAAATAGAGGAGTTACCGTGACTGGCGGAGGCCAAGGCACGTGGAGACAATATCTAACTCTTCCCAATATCATTAAAGTAAGACAATCCAATCTCACAACGTTATAACGTTTATTATTGAACAAATTTTAGCATGCAAGACAAATACAAAAAATGGAGATTTAAGATATTGATGGCGGCCAATCATGGCAGTTAAATCAATAAAATTTAATTAAAATCTTTAAAACTATAGTAAAGTCTAATACCCGTTGCATTAACACTGCAAATCCAAGTGTGTTATTTTTACACGCATAAACATCTAAAAATGACTGTTTAGAATCTATATAATGAATCGTGTTTAGAATCTGTAGCATGAGTTGGTATCAAAGGTAAGGATAGGCAGAGCTTAATATGGTGATATATGGTAAAGGAGAGCTACAGTAAGAAGAAATAAGGCAGAGTAAAATCAATAGTTATTGACCTCCCGTAAACGCACTATCGATCTAGAAGCGCTACCACTATTACCATGTACACTTTACCGGCAGGAATGCCTGGACATAATACATATACATATACATGTACATATATGTCATATACATATCAAAATGTCCAGGCATTCCTGCCGGTCAGTGTATGTACATACATCGCAATGCGAAGCAACCTTCACGTGTCACAGTTCGCCACGCATACTCGATCAACGACGATCAACGACGATCGCGTCGTTAATTTTTTTCAATAGCTCAATTAAGGATATATGGGTCGTATAGTCCTTGCTAAAAGTTAAACTTTCAATAAAGAAGACTTTGCATGTATGTCAAACAACTCAAAATTTTTTATATGTTAGAAGGGATTACCGTTAACAGTTTGAGTATAATTTTTTGTTATTTAAATAATTAGTATTGTTTAAACAATTAAAAAAAATTTTTTGTGGCAAAAAATTTTGAAACTTAAAATACACAATATCAATGATGTATGTTTTACACATAAAAAAAGTTTAAGAAATATCTTAATGATTTATTTATATTTTATTTATATTTACAACAAAAATGTCAATACTCTGTAAGGGATAATGTTAATTTTATCAACTTTAAACTTAAATAACTCTTAAATAACTTCAAAAATTTACAGAGTATTTTTAATTTAATTTAGAAACAATTTACAGCACTTTCTGAATATATTGAAATACCTCCAATACATCCTTAATTACAATAACTTTTAAACCAGTAAGAGAAATGTGCTGAAATTTTACACAGATACTTAGATGTAATAATAGAACAATCTATGAAATTTTTAGATTTTTGGTAATGCTTTGAGATGTCACCCATACATTCTTAATTTCAATACTGCCGATTGCGGCCATTATCACGAGATTATTCTGGAGCGCCGATAGCGGCCATTATTAAGATTGCTCCATACAAGCCGATTGCGGTCATTTTTAAGGTAACATTCGAGATGTTCTTGCGACCGAGAATCAGAGTTCACATTCTTGCATTTGGTGGAAGGTTTCATCTAATTTACAATCTTGGTTGCAGAGACTTCTCACGAGGCACTAAATATGGATTGCGTTAACAATAATAATACAACTATATCTTTAAATTTTCTTGGAGATTTAGTCAAATGTTAGACAAATGATTCCTTTCGTTCTTTCGATCTCTTTTAATTAAGTTTTCTACGTTCAAATCAAATTAACAACACCTCTTTCTCCAAAGAAAGTGTATATGCTTTTGTATAAGTTCTACTGTGAACTGTATTTCATATACTTATAATTTCATTTTGTTCGAAAAATCCACCAAATGATATGTTTGCGCATGGTTAATTCTTAATACAATGCGACTATTAATATTTACTAATATTCTAAGATATTTAATAATGAGACAAATTTTAAGGTTGATTGAATTGCTAAAATATTCAAATTGTGCGTCATTTACTTAATGTGAATATTAATAATTTCCAGTTCCTTTCATTTTAGTAGATAATAATGTATTATTTGATCTATTTTCATTAAATACGTCTTTCAATCTTGTTTATATAAAATTTATTATCTAACTTTGAGTTTGGTTTGATTAATAATTATCTGAAAGAAAATTAAGTCATCATTAAATCTCAGTTTAATGTAATTACTGTGCGAACTATTTTCGGATGTTTTGATTTCTCCTGTTTCTTTAAATTTATGTGATTTCTTATTTACAATGTTTATATTTCATGATTATTATGTGATCTCTTATAATGTTTACATATTTCATGTTTATTATGTGATTTGAATTCTGCATATTATTTAAAGTGATAATTTCTGCTGCTTATATGCGATATTCCACTGTGAAATAACCACTGATTTCTGTTCATAATTATATTTTATTATTCTGAAAGATATTATTGTGTATTGCTCTTTCATTTCATTCAGAGAGAAGGTCTGATACTCAGCGCCTGTACAATGACACATTAGACTGAAGCTCTTTTTACATATTTCTTTATGTGTTAAATTACGTCATTTAATACTTTTAATAGTATTACATTAAAAGTTAGTTCGTTTAATGTTAAATGACGTGATTTAAAACAGTTAGAAATGTGTAAAAAGAGCTTCACCTAAAATAACGCACTTAGATTTGTAGTGCTGTTATGTAATAATTATATAATAAAAAAAGAAAAATAGACTTTTTTTGCACCATTAGAGCTACCGCGTGACTTTATGTGAGAGCGGCAAAATTGTATTAGTTAGCGGAAGGGGGCATTGAGGGGAATTCCCTCTTATCCCATGTGCAAATTTTATATTTCGTAAAATTCCCCTAAGGTAGTTGGGCGTGATGCTAACAATCTTACTTTGTAAAATAAAATACCAGGATATTAAGCAATGCCAAACGAAAAAGTTATATAATATAATATAATATATTATATCATATTATATTATATAATTCAGAATGTTATATCGGTTAATAAAATCATTATCATAATCATTATTGATCAATATTTAAAATTGTGAGTTCTTTATTCGCTCTCTAATTTTTTTCCTCACTTTAATAAATGTCTTTCTCTAACCGAAAATTATTTCTTTTCTTGCAATTTATTTTATATATTAAATAATCTTAGAAAGTTTATGATTAAATATATGATCTTTGTGACAGATTTTCACAATTTTATGACAGATTTATAATTTAAAAAAATAACATAGAGACGGATACTATAACGATAAGTTAGATAAGAAAAGTTGTATTATGTCTTGAGAGGGAAGGAAAGGGAGTAATGTAACACTAAAGGCTGATCTAACAATGTGCGCGTGTACAAATTAGTCATCATAAATTTTCATTACATTAGGAATTCAACCCCAATTTGATAGGATATGCATTGGGAGACTCTTTGACGACTGACAAGGCATCGCAATTGAATGTTGCCGAAAGTGGAGCTATGTCCGCGGATATGGTTTACATGGCGGATATGTTAGTCAAGAAAATTAAAAATGATCCAAGGATAGATCTGCAGAAAGATTGGAAGGTTCGTTGAACTGGACAAATTTAATTTGTTGCAAACAGCGAGAGAAACGAGGAGCAGCTATAGTTATTACGTGAACTGCATGTTTTGTTGTATGTAATAATTAAGTTAATTATCACCCCTTATAGTTTTAAACTGATTTTCCTTGCGATAAAAATTTGACGGAACTATTTATAGTCTGTCATAAGTTTGTAATGTTTTCCAAGATTTTCGTTAATATGCTGTACAACCAAATATCTCGCTTTGCTGTTAAACATTCTGCACTCTTATTTATTAAACATACATATCGATAACAATAAAATTTGATTTGCAGTTCATCTCTCTGATGATCGGAAGCAATGACTTTTGCAGTAAAATATGTTGGATTCCTGCATCGCCTTGGTCAGTTCTTGAAACACATAAAACTGATCTACTCCAAGCTTTGCGGACGTTAAGAGATAATTTGCCGCGAACCTTCGTGGCATTGCTTCCACCACCACATTTAAAGGCTATGGTTGAGATACGTGAAGAAAAACCATCGCTTAATTGTTTCCTCGGAACGAAGTTCGTGTGTTCTTGCATGTTTGGTCTCACATCTTGGCGTTTTAGATCTATGTATTACGACATTATACAACAGTAAGTGTAATAACGTAAAATAAAACAGAAAATAGTCTAGAGTAGTGTAAGTAGTCCAACAATGAACCCTATAGTACACTATAAACTATTGCGATATTTCATAAATATGACGTTACCAGAGTGTGCTTGTTGCATCATATGCAAAGACTCGCATTTGAACTTCTCTTCGGCTCTCCAATCGACCGGCAAATCACACAAAGGATGGCCGTTTAAGGCCACATTTTGTGAATTTAGACAAACTAAATTTTTTTTTGTAAATTTTACGTATTTTTCATGTTTTTGTTGTTATATCTATCATTTTTTTTTCATTATTCTATAGTTTTGTGTGTATATTTGGCTTTATAATTCTGTAAACAACTTTTTCTATTGCATTATTTTATCGTATTTTTTGGAAATTAGCGTAAAAAATGTTATATGGTTTACAATAAACCATTTTGTCTTTTACTATAGTTATCGGTGTTATAAAGTCTTATTAAACTGACTAGTTGCTACAATAAATAATAATCTAAGTGACAAAAAGTCTGATTAAAAATAATAATTTTGATTGTAAGCTTCAAATAATAAAAACATAACATATATAATTAAGCTAGCTTTAATTTAAATTTATACTATCCTAATCTTACTTATCATGTCTTATAATTATCTCTTCCCTAAATAAACATTTTAAAACATAGTAAAACTAAAATAACACTAACAATTCACAGCATAAAACATGTGGTTCATTGTTAAAAATGACTAGGTTTATTGTGTATAACAACCTTGTATACAATAAACCATTTAACATTGCTTTAAAAAAAACAAAATTGTGGCTAAACTTTAAAAATAACTTATGAGTCATCTTATATAATAGTAGCCAACTAAATTCATGACCTGCGTATGCAAAAACACAGATCTTTAACTCAATAATTGAGAGATATAAGCCTCTGAAATTTACATGGTTTATTGTTGGACTACCTACCCTATGTTATTTATTAAATGTTAATATACATATAATTATTTTCGGTAATGCAAAGTTCTTATCTGTGTTTAAATAATTCGATACGACATTAAGTAAAAAATACGTGTTTGCAATGTGCGACAGTATAAATTAATTTTAACTTGTTTCATTGAAAGTATCACTTATACCGTTGAAAGCAAATTGCGGATTGATTAAAAAGTTGAAAATATGTTTTAGGTGGCAGAAGTTAGATATGGAAATCGCAACTTATTCAGAATTCCAAAGAGATGACTTTACAGTCGTAACTCAGCCTATCCTGGTGAATTTCAGTATTCCATTTGCTTCAAATGGGTATACCGATATGACATATTTAAGTAGCGATTGTCTTCACGTTAGTCAAAAGACCAACGCTTTTTGTAAGTTTTTAAAAAATTTCCTAAGAAAAGATTTGTTAACTGTATATAAATACTAATCTTTCATATTTAAAACGCATTTTATTTATAATTTTATATTTAAAAACGCATTTTATTTGTAGTTATATATATATTTAAAAGTTTTATATTTAAAATTTTTATATTTTATATTTTATATATTTACTTTTATATTTTATTTTTATATTTAAACCTAAACGTAAAAATAAACATGTAAATGTGTATTAAAACTATTTTTATAGTTGTTCAGAAATAATCCAGAAAATGATTCGGGATCTTCTATTTTTGCAGTAGCAAACAGTTTATGGAACAACTTATTTGAACCGGTAGGTGCCAAATCGACAAAATGGAACAATAATAAATTTCGCTGCCCGACGCAAGAGAAGCCTTATCTGACTACAATGTTAAATTCGAAGCAACAAAGTGTTACTGAAACTGCCGCTACGATTCGAACGAGAAATATTGGCACTTAACAAATGAGACAGTGGCTGCATTCCGATATTCACTGTCAGCAACTTTCAGTACTAAAAATCTATAGTATACGTGACGTAAAATATAGATTTGCAGTACTGACAGTGAATATATCAGAATACAGCCAGTATCGATAGCGTTATTAGGTCATCAGTCATAGTTACAACGTCGCAAACAACTTTAAACAGAGTTAGTTATTTAAGTGTCAATTATTTAACCGTAGACAAGATGACAATGTATTCATTATTGTAAGAGCCGTCTTTTGGGTTGGGCAAACTCAAGCACAGAGACAGTTTAACTGGGTTCACACTATATTTAATTTATATATTTATTATACAGTTTAATACTTAAGTCGTATGTGCGCTTTCAAACAAACTCTTTACATCTTTACGTTACTCTATTGTTGTACTCTATTGTTTACATTCTGAAGATTGATTTGTTCAAATAAGAATAAAAACTGCGGTGTGCCCACTAAGACCTTTAGAAGCGATATGCATATATCAGATTGTTGGAAAAGAATTGGCGGTAGAGAACGTTATATGGACGATGGCTATGTAATCTTCGTTTGTCTCGCAGCTTTAAAAATAAATCTGTTGCATCAAGGAAACATAAGTTATAAACTTTCACAATTTACATAGTAATATTTCTCTCAAAATAATTATAGACACCGATGTTAATTTTTACAAAATTTTGAAGAAATTATTATACGCAAAACTTCGTGATTTTGGACTTCAAATTTATTTTATATTTAGATCCACATATTTAATGTGAAAATTCATTTTCAAAAATTAAATTTAAAGTCGACCTAAATTTTCTTAATTTTTTGTTTATTCCTTTAATTCTGCTTTAGTTACATTTTAGTCATCAGTGAATTAGTCAGGGGATACACCACTTTAAAAAAAAACGCGTCAACAACAGTATCTCATGGATGACTTACCAACAATATACCAACTATTCTCTGCTTTAAATAACTTTTCTTTTAATATACCAACAATTCACTGCTTTATATAATTTTCCTTCGTTCATACATGTACTATTTCCACATAAATATCAGGCATTTATGTCTATTAGTACTCAAAATAACTGCTACATTTTTCAAACTTTTTTTGTTTATAACTTTTTAATAAAAAACGAGCGCCGGTTAAAACTTTCTGAAGGTCACTCAGGAGGGTGACCTTGATAACGTATGTCAAAGCCAAGGTCATCGGAGGTGCCTCCCCTAAAATGCATAATTACCAAAAATCGGCCGAGAAGTGCATTTCTTGCAGTATGGACTAGAGTTCCTATAATAAGAGTTAAGACACCGTTATAGCTTTGTCTCACTCCCACTAACTTCTTCTTGGTTATAAAATAGCGGACTGGCGGACCAGTTATATAGCTTTAATTGTCTCACTCCCACTAATAACTTTGTCTAATTGTCTCACTCTCATTAACTTGGCTGAAACATTGGCGGACCAATAAAACATCATCATTACATTGGCTTAACTCTTATTATAGGGACTCTGGTATGGACTTGAACTCGGTCACCTCTTATATTCTTATATACGATGAAATAAAAAAAGAGCATGTCTTGTCGTGCTCTGCTGTAATAGATACGTTTTTAATGCAAAATACTTATTTATGAGTTTCTATCTGCAAATCGATAAATGAGAATGATTTTTCCTTTATGGAAGAAACATTCGCTGAATTCATGCTCAAGACAATTCCATCTTTGCGAAAAAAGATTAGCCTTTAACGAAAATCTACTGATATCTAATATGTCATAAAAATCGTTTCAATTTTTTATTTAATTTTTGACGTAAAACTATGTCTTTGTCGACAGTAAGTAGAGGATAACATTGGGAGCACAGATGCAACGAAAACATGCCACACTTTGAACGTTTATATCTTCGAAACTAATCATCGTAGAGTAATGATTAATACGTCATTAGATAGCTTATATAGTCTCATTTCCTCTTGAAAGTTTTAAAAGTCTCAAAAAGCTTCCTAAATGAGAAAGCCGAACAATATTATAAGCAAATAATTATGTTCAAGTTTCAACCACTTTCAATTTTGGCAATTTAATATCAATTATTGGCAACTTTTCTAATTACATTATATTCTTCAGTTTTTTTTACCCTTATTTCATATATAATTCTTTAAGATTTGGTTGATTAGACCCAGCTTTATTAAGCTTCTATGTATAGTACGTATTTCTAGCAAATTTTAACGTATGTAACTCAAGAATTAATCAACCAAATTTTAAAAAATTATATATGAAATAGGGGTAGAAAAGATTGAAGAACATAATAGAATTAGAAAAAATTGCCAGTATAAAAATCAAACGGGCACAGTAACAACTGTGCCGCAACCAACAACGTATAGAGCTGCATCAACTGTCGTTCCCTGAATACTTTAACATGAACTAGTGACAGTAGACGTAGCTCTACGTTGTTGGTTGCGGCACAGTTGTTACTGTGCCCGTTTGATTTTTATTATATTGGCAATTTTTTTCTAATTCTATTATGTTCTTCAACCTTTTCTACTGCGTTCTACTGCGTCTTGCTGCATATATCCGTATTGGCATCGGATAGAAAGATTGCTCTTGATACGCCCTTTAACATCATATTCCGTGCCTTTCGAGAATGGACTTTTAATGCTTTCGGTACGTATGTTAACCAGTAATATGTTATTTATGCCACCGTACGAATTGTAAGAATTTACATTCTTTTCGCTAGTCGCACGTCTGTTATTTTATTACAATGCTGAAATTTTCCAATTCCTCTTTTGATATAAAATGCAGTTGAAATCAGAATGTCAAATTACATAGCCATGCCATATATTCGATCGCCCAAAAATAGATTTTTTTTTATAATTAAAATGTAGAGCAGTATATGAGATGTGTACTTTATTAAATTTTACTAATTAATATAAAATATAAAAATAGTCATGATTAATAGTATATTGTACAACTAGTGGGAAAAGTGATCGATTCTGAATGAGTGTGAAGTTGGTCGCGCGAGCGAAGCGCGTGCGACCATCACACTCATTTGGGCTTGACCACTTTTCCCATTTTTTTAATTTCGACCGAAACCGAAACGATATTCGGTTATGTGTCAATTTTGGCAAAAATTGAAATCGAAAACTGAAAATCAAAATTTTCATGGAAATCCTAGAAGGGCCATATGTATACGCGCGCATATGTATACGCACATATATACTATATACAAAGGGTCGTTCAAGTCAAATCGGGACTTTAAGGGTACGAAATAACGCAAACAGAACGCATTTATAGAAATAAAAACTATATTTATTTTTCAATATTTGGACAATAATTCTTCTGTTACATTTATGCACTTGCCCCAGCGTTTCACTAATGCCTGGATACCAGTAGCACAAAAAGATTTGTCTGTACGCCGGAGCCAGGATCGGACAGCGTGTTTTACTTCGTCGTCAGTTCTGAAATGCTGACCTCCCAAGAAATTTTTTCAAGGTCCGTAAAGATGAAAATCGTTCAGAGCGAGGTCTGGACTGTGAAGCCTTGTGTCCACGATGCTAGAAATTGCTCCGAGATCTTAGACGCAAGGCTTAGGGAGGATAAGACAATATCTTCCAGCCAAGTTCCAATAATGTGCAAGTAGTGCGATGGGTAGTATGATGTACAGCCATCTTTAAATTGTTTGCACCATTCAAATGGTTTACTGCGGCTAATTGCCTCATTATCGTACTGTGCTTGAGGTCTTCGTAAATATCCGCCGGTTTCACAACTTTATTCACAAGAAACTTCATAATAATTTGCTGTTGTCCGCCATTTTGCATAACTGATTATCAATTGACTCGAGAGAACTACGCCACATACCGATGATAGACACTTGTCATTTATTACTATAAAAAAAATTCTTCGCGATCGATCGTATTCGTTTTATATCATGTGCAACTAAAAGTTCCGGTTTGACTTGAACGATCTTCGTATATACTTTTTGTTTATAATATAAATATCATAATTTAATTATCAAAATAGTAATTACACATCATAATCCTACTATTACAATCTTATTATCACAACCTATAGTTTGCTATATACTATCCGTATCATAATCATATTATTTCGCAACATCAGTCATCTGTTGTTTTTTTTTAATTGAAAAGATGTGGAATAATACATCCGAATTGTCGATTTAAGTGATTTAAATGACCGAAAGCGGTGCAAGATATCAATATATCAATTTACTAATGATAAATAATTGCGTGTTGTTAACATCGAAAGTCGTTCAAGGTGCAATTGTCATATTCCGATGATTAATGCGCGTCGTAATCGTAATTAAAATTTTTTTGCAAGTATTGTTTGCTATAATAATGAAAGAGCCTGGAAGGAGGAGGAATTATTAGAATCATTGGGCGCAATTAGAAGCAATCAAAAAATGTGTGAGTAATTTGTTTATTATTTTATTTATTACGTATAAATTAAGTAATTGCTACTAATTATTTTATACACGTAATATTATTTATTGAAATATTAATTATGTTTAATTATGCACGCGTATTACAATTTGAATATGTTTATGTAATATGTCAATGTAATTTATATTTGAACTCTGTATATGAGTCAAATTTTTTTATTTTAATTTAAAGAGTAATGGATCTGTGAAACTAATAAATAGATGTATTACTTTAAAATGTGAGCTAAAGGATACCAGTATTAATATATATTTAATCCTAGATTAAGCGTAATAGCTTATTGTGCACTCCGCATTCTCATATGAAGCTAAAATGAAATTCATTATATTGACGCATTGTTTATTACGGTCCCCGAAAGCAAATGATTAATCCTTATCAATAATAGTTTAATTAGAGAGGTCTCTATACTTTTCGTGTCTTTACATTCTTTTAAGTGTCCGATCATCTGGAATTTTCCAACATCAGCGTAGATGAGCGAATTCATAGCCAGATCCGCATGCCCGTAGTAGATGCAGGCACATACATCGAACCTCCGCACGCTATACTCTGTCCTGATAATGGTTTT